AAGAGTCAACCATTATGTTCCTCTTCTATCCATATAAACTATTCTTTAACATAATTCTCTACCTCAAGTGACCCCTGGGCCTTGTACATAGTGAAACTTAGTGTAAAAAAATAAAATAAAAATAAAGCTAGGAGGCCCTACATTGTATCTACCGTCAGTAATATGTACATGTACTAAGAAATGCTCATTTTTTTCCACATAAATTTTAATTGTACCCTTTTTGATATGTAATTTTGGAAAATTTTTATTTATTTGTTACAAAAATTAAATGACAGTATTGTAGTTGTCAGTGGTTCCCCTTTGTCTCCTTGCAACCAATATTTTTAGACCCAGTCCACTACTGAGGAAAAGGGAGAAAAATGAGAGATAATTTGAAAATTTGAAGAATCTAAAGAGGGAAAGAGAAAGAAGATATGTATTAAATTTAGAGCAAAGCTTTTACACAGCTTGACATTGACACAAGGCCACATTAGTATGGTACCCAGTGAGGATCAATATTACCAGCTGTGTCCTAACCTACCCACAACAGTTCTGTGAGACATTACAAGTGAGTGAATGAGTGAAAGAGACAAAAGGAAAAATTAACTGAGATTAAGTAAATAAGAGACAAGCAGGATTCACTTATAATCTTCTCAGGTTAATTTCAAAATTTAACAGGTGAGCTGAATGGACTCGTTAGGGGAATTAAAAGATAATGAATGAGAAAATCTCAATTAATTGCTTAATTAGTGGCTTAAATAATTGTTGAGCATTACCTATTGTTACTCCTCCCACGATGGTAGGTTTGACAAAAGTTTGGCCTAAATGATTACTTCACCTTTTGGGAATGCTGGAAAAGAAACAAACAGTTTGGAAAAATATTCAAGATGCATATTTCTTCTTCTTTTTTTTAATCATTTCACTCCAAGCAAGGCAATAAAGCCACTAAGATGCAAAAGGTTACTGAGTGTTAAAGAATATGAAAGAAAAAGGTGGGTGAACAATTAAAAGAACAAGAATTAAGAAGACAGGAGATAACAATTGATATGGCATTTAAATTTTTGAAGATCAAACTTAACTAAGAAGCAAAAAGCTGGAAGAGAGTTCCACAGGTGAGAAGTGTGACAGAAGAAACTGTTAACATAGAACCTACAGTTATATCTAGTCATTTCAACTGTAAAATGATGAGACTTTGCTGCCAATCTAGTACTGTGCTTAAATTCATAAAGTTTAGAGGAAAGTTCATCAGAACAATTTTTTTTAATCGGATTTAACCCAAGCAAGGCAGTAATGCCATTAAAACACAAGGAGTTACTGGAAGAATTAGGAACAGAAACATTAATGATGAGCAGAAAGAGAAGAGAGTAATTGGGTGAACAGTAATAGTGATTGACATTGCATTTAAATTTTTGCAGATTAAACTTGGCTGGAAATATGGAGCCAGAAGGGAGTCCCTCAAGCAAGAAGTGTGATAGAAGAAACTGTTAGCATAGAACTTACAGAGACATTTAGCCATTTCAGCTGTAAAATGATGAGACTTTGCCACTAATCTAATACTGAGCTTAAATTCATAAAGTCTAATTACCATAGTGCAAAGTTCATCAGAACAATTACCATGAAAGTATTTATAGTAAAAGCCTATATTCCAGTGGTGGGAAAGTGACTGAAGGCAAGAAGCCATGTCAGGACCAATAACATTGGAAAGCAAGAAGCCAGAAGATAGTTCCACAAGAAACAAGTGCAATAGAAGAAACTATTAGCATAGCACTTGAGGTTACATGCAGTCATATTGCAAAAATACAACTTTCTTCCTTAGGAAAGTGTTAAAATTATTGTACACATCAAAGAAAAGCCAATATCATTAAAAGTAAAAGATAATTTTTACTCCCCTTAGTACTTGAAGATTTTCATTTGATCATGTAACAGGTGTTAAGATTGTGTATTGAATGCTTCTCAAATACAAGTGCATTCATTTGCTTGTGAAACTTGCATGTGCATTTAAGTGCTTTTGGCCTTAAAGAGTTGAGTCATAAAATTTTACAGTATTTAAAGTTTTTGAAAGAACACACTTTTTTGTGCATTAAACAGATTATAAAGATATTAATGTTATTCAAAACTACATAAACACTTTGCCCATGACAAACTTAACATGAAGAAAACTGGTAGAATGGACCAGCCTTTTGACAGAATTTGGAGATGTGGCATTATCTATTACATACTTTGTTATTTAGACCAGTATGATTGTCAAGATGAACACACGAGTCTAAATACCTCGTAATTGCAGTTGTTCCCAGATCCACACTGCCTGTTGGTTGTGGCACCTGTTAGGGTCCCAGCTATAGACAAATAGTGAAACCCCAAACAAAAACAAAACACTATGAAAGTATAAAAATACATTTTTATAGTAAAAGTACCAGCAATATATTTTTATATAAAAAGAATTACCAACAATACCTATTTATAATAAAATTACCAACAGCACAATTTTATAGCAAAATGATAACAATACATTTTATCTGTATTTGAAGACATACAATTGCATTCAAAATATTTAGATTTCAGCATTAAATAACACATAGAGGTTGATATGCCACGAAACAAAATCAATCAACCAAATAACTAATCTGAATAACAAAGCATATAAAAAAAAAATGAAGATAAGGATAATAAAAATATAATTTTGTGCATTGCTCAAGATTCATAATATGAAAATACATATAAAATATTAGCACTTTATTATTAAATTAGCATAGTACCCATAACAATTGTTTAAAAATAAAAATTATTTAACTAAGAATATTTATGTAGGGTCAAATTAAAAAAAATATTTGTATTTTAAAAAAATATATGTATTTTAAAAAAATATATGTATTTTAGTAAATGTCTTTATTGTAAAAAGTTTTGGAGGATAAAATTTGTACTTACAAAGAAATATATGGGAAAACAAGATATAATTTTTTCTGGAGGCATGGTGGAGTAATGGATAATGGCTCATACTGAGGGATCAAAGAGCCAAGTTCAAATTCCAGTCGAGTTTGTTGCAGTCACTTACAAGCAAATACCTTTGAGAAACGCATGGATCCATCTCGTCTCCCCCCCTCCAGCTATGGGTAAATAGCAGGACAGACTGGGTCCTATAATATTGGGTGGCAACCAGTCTCAGAGAAAGACAACTATGAATTCAAAACCTCCAACTATGGGTAAATAGTAGGGCAGACTAGGTTCTTCAGCCTTGGGTGGCAACCAGTCTAGAAGGACAACTTTGAATTCAAAAACCATATGTATACCAAGCAAAGCACATACATGAAATATGTAATTTATGCACATTCTTATATTGAAAGCTTCTAAATATATATTTTACACAATAATATTAATCCCATAACTCATTTTGCTCTCTTACAGAAACATATTTTTATTTATTTATTCATCTTACTCTTTTAACTTTTTAACACAAAAACAATTTTGGCATTAAATGACTCATAAATGTGTTGGTATGCAGCAACATCAATCAATCAAGAAAGCTAGTTTACCTTGACCTTTGTCACCTTTAAGCTCTACTTTTAAGTTCAGTCAGTTATGTGCCATGCGTGTTACATGCTTAAGTGATCATGTATCTTTCAATACATGACTGATGAGGTTGTAGGTTGTCATTTCTTTTTGCGGTAGACCAGTTGCCATCCAAGGCTATAGAACCTGGTCTGTCCTGCTATTTACCCATAATTGGGGGAGAAGAAGAGGATTCATACCTTTCCCAAGGGTATTAGCACATAAGTGAATGTAATGGATCTCCGATTCATCAATCTGAGCTGATATCCATTACTCCACTGTGCCTCCTAAAAAGGAGGCACAGTGGATATCAGTCTGACTTAATTTTTAAAAGTTTTTGAAGTTATTTATTTGTAGATATTTTGTTTAACCCTTCATTAATGATTTTTTGGATTAGAAAAAAAATTTATTGTAATTTTGATTTAATTTATTGCTCTTTAAGTTTAGAAAAAAGGAAGATATGATATATTAATCTATATATCAGACTAATCATTAGTAATTGAATGATAAAATGGAAAATGAAAAACTTAAAAAGATTTCTTTAGTCTGAAGACCTTTTGAAGGACAAAACATGCAACATAGAAATTTTTCTGTATTGTTATTCTGTTGTCTATTATAAGAAAAAAATCTTATTTCCATGGCTTCTTTGTTAAAATATAATGTAATAAAAAATATATTTTGAAAAATATATTAAATCTAGTTTTCATTCTTTTCATTTTACACTAGTCATATTCTAATGCTGCTTGTTCATCCATTTGTTAGTTAACACATGCATTATGCTCTCTCATTACCCCAGATATATAATAGACCATTCTGTTTTGATTGTGATTGTAAGAAAAAGTTATGTCAGAGAAGCATAGATAATAAGAAAGAAAGAAAGAAAGAGGAGATAGATGAGGCAATAACACTTTTGGTTTAATGTTAGTTTCAGTGAAATGGAAAACCTTATCAGTTTTAATCTTTTCATTTATACCCACTAACTTCTTTAAATAATGACTTTCATTTGTACTCATGATTGCTAGTGTAATATTCTATTAAAATTGTTAAGCTCAAATATTTAATGATGCAATAAGAGAATTTCCACAGGTATTTTATAGTCATAGAACTTGCAAATTTATTCAGTCATTAACATAAGTATGTTGGGTCATTAAAAATTCAATTTTCATGTGTACTGCTAGTTATTATTATTATTATTATTATTATTATTATAAATAGTCAGTCTGCTATTTTTTTCCATTTTTTTTTCTTTTTTGCAATTTATTTTGTTATTCTTGTTTTAGCCCTGTTGTCTTCATTTTAATTAGATATTTTTTCCATTTTTTTTTTTTTTTGGTATTATTCTTTCCTTTATTTTTTTGTTTTGTTCTCGTCATCATCATATCTGATATCACATATGTTCACTCTTTCAGGGGATGTAACGTTTATGGAGAAGAAAGGGATTGCAGGATTTAATTTTCATTGAATCACAACTTCAAATGGCAAGCAGTGGCCCCCAGTCTGTCTTGGACAGACGTAACCCCAACCCTGACAGCAACAATCTTGTTGTTGATAGAATAACGCGACGACGCAGTCCTATACGTCCTGCCAAGGGACCAGGTGCTGACCAAATCGTTCCGCGTATTGCACAACCCTATCGGACAAGCTTCTCGGCTGTGGTTTCATTACCACGCCACCACAAATCGTCAGATGAAATTGCTGCAGCAAATATGACCCTAGACAAACTCCGTGCTGATCATGGCCCACTAAAAAGTGGTCGCCGTGGCGTCAGCCCCAGACATGTAACTTATGATACCACCGTTAAGGTGAGGCACTCAGACACTGAAGACAGCCTCATGACAAGCCTCAGTGGACAAGATTCAAGCTACAGTCCGCTCGAATCACCTCGGGATAGTTCGGACATACTGTCCCCACTTTCTGCCATGTCATCCGAATCAGAAAAGAGTTGTCCACAGCTTCGATCAGGCAACCAAGAAGTGTTGAAAGGAATTCGTAAAGGCTATGATAGTGCTTCTGTTGGTGCCGGGGATCGTCTGACCCCAAATCACAATGTAGGTTTCCTCTCCCCAGGATCACCAGGTTCAGACGGTAATATCAATAAAACAAACATAAGCAAAGATTACGTTTATGATAGAACCATTAGTTACAGAATGGCAATTCAAGCACAGTACTCTGATGAGGTAAAGAAACTCGCCGCAGCAAATGTGGAGGAGAAAGCACCTGAAGAAGGAGCGCAAAGTTCAAATGATGATACAAACAAAAGTGAAATAGGTACCCAGTCAAATAAGGAAAGTGAGCCGTCAGTACAAGGGGCCGTCGCCGCCTCTGCCACAGACGCCAGTTCCTCAGACTCCAAACGCCATGAACCGCATTTCTTGAGTCATGCCAAGAAGTCACTAAGTACCAGTGTCGGCAATTTCTTTCGACGTCTATCGCCGAACGTTAGGAGAAGAACAAAACATCACAAGAAGAGCTCGTCTACCGAAGGCAGTGCACAGAGCTTGAACACCAGTGACTCTTGTTCCATTGAAAGTGATCCATCCGGCCATCCTTTCCACCGTTCGAACAGTAAAAGCCGAAGATCGTTTATGAAGTTCTTCGGAAAGATACACAACCGGAAAAAGTCTCATAGTTTAAGATCCGTTGGTGATAACAAACCATCAAAAGAGGATGAACTGGACTGCTCTCAGTCTCAGGACATCAAACAGTTTGATTCTTCAACCCAACGCATACTCAAATCAATTGAACAGAACTCTATGTCAGACAAGACGATTTACCAAAAATTCAAGGCAAAGCAACCATCAAATACTGGCAGTGACTCAAGCAGCAAGAGTCAAGCCGTGCGTCCTATTCAAGCTACAAATATGGCGTTGTGTAGCAGTCCCACGGAGCCCAACCACACAAATAAAGAAAATGAACTCAAGTTAATGTCACTCCCTCTGAAAGCGTCAACCCCTGATAACAAAAATGCACTACAAATCAACTTGAGCCCCCAAAGCACAACAAGTACAGGTGGGGCTGTGTCGTCCTTGTATGCCAACTCCTCTTTGTCTGATCAAAACCAGTCTGTCGATGACTTCTCATTGGCTGTACACACGCCAGGTAAGTTTCGTGTGACCTTTGCGCTCGCTTGTTTAAAGCATTTATTAATTTGTTTGTTTGACAGTTTACTCAACTCACCTTAACAATTATTTTCTTTTTTTTTCTTACAATGTTCTGTGAATGTTGGTAAATCGCTTTTATATTTGTTTATTTTTGTTGTCAAAATATTCACTGATGTGTCACGTGATTCTTTTATGGGAGTATCAGTTCAAAGTAAGATGTTTCTATTTCCACCTGGCTCCATTAAAATTCCTTTTTATCAAACTGGGACCAGATGCAGGCCTGTTGCCAAGGTATTTTAAGTTGGGGAGGTGGGGAGGATATCTTTGAGAGGATCACAAGTAAATATTTGCACTCTAAAATTAGTTAATTTCTCTGGGAGGTGGAAGTGGCAAACCATACTGGCCCTGCCCTTTGGCAATGGATCCAGGTTAGGGATAATATCCGTCTACTTATTTCCAAGCACACCTGTCTGTTAGGGTGGCTAGCCAATCCAGGTTGTTGACACCTGCACAGGAACATTTGTGTTTGTTCAACACCCACAGAGCCCACCATTAAAACAGATATTGTGCTCCTAAATTTAATATTTTCTGAACAATATGCTACACCTTAAAGCATACTATGAACAATAGCATTGTATATTCTTTGCACCAAGTTGTCACCATTTTTGCCTCTTCACTTTGAGGCTTATGGCCATATCACATTGAAACATTGGTTCCTATATGATCACTGAAGTTAAGCAACATCAAGCCTGGTTAGTACCTAGATGGATAATCACTTGCTAATTCCAGGTGCTTTGATTTGCACGTAATACAATGGCTCAGAATTGTTAATCGGAGATCTAAGTTCTAATTCCAGTTGGGTTCATTATATTATATGCAAATACCCTTGGAAAAGGTATGACTCCAGCTCTTCTCTCCCCAGCTATGGGTTAATTAATAAGACTTGTATCATTAAATCATTATTACCTCCAAAAATAAAATAAGATTGAATACAGAATATTTAGATTTTGGCATGAAATAACCTATAGGGATGTTGATATGCCACGAAACAAAAACAACCAACCAACCAATCTTTTCTCTTTGAGACATATTCAGGTATATATAACATTGTCTGTGGCTTGTTTTTCCAGCTTTCTTTGCAGATATATTCTCCAGGAAATGACACAACTTCATGACTCCTAGTAAATAGTAACCTTATGAATCTTAGTGTTGCTAATTAGTCATTTAAATGCAAATCATGAATGAACAGTCTCGGTATTGTTGTAAAAAGTTTAAATCATCAATTAATGATACCTGCTGATTGCCACCGAAACATCAGTTCCTGATAATCACCATGTAAGGGTTAATCATCTCATTACATACACATAGTTGGAAAAGAGGATGGTTTAGAGAGCACTTAGTTAAACCACTCCCCCACAACTACTTTCTTTACTGCCTACCTAGTAGTAATATTAAGATTGTTACACTCATCAATTTGTCACATTATTCAAGGCAATTATGAAGAATTTATTTTCTCTGTTCTTGGTCTAATAAAATCCCTTTTTTTCTTGTAATATATTTTACCATATATACTTGCGTATAAAATGATCCAAATATAAGTCTACGTCATATCAGAGAAATGGGCAAAAATTCAAACCTCATATATAAGTCAAGGCAGCTAATCAACACTTAAGGTTCAGATTGTGCGGTTTTGTAAATTCCCATGAGTAGAGAATATTTTTATGAAGTTTTCAATATTTCAATATCTAAAATATTTTTAAGTGTCGTTTAGAGTATAGTTTTTGTTTCAAAACCTCATTACATAATGATTTTTATTGTTTCATTTGTTTTTATAAAGTTTCAAGTTTCCCAAATTTCTGTTTATTTCCTTTTAACAAATGAGAATAGCACCATCTTCTGAATGAAACAGATTTTTATTTAACATGCAAATCGAATGAAATGCATGCATTAAAAAGTTTGGAAGCCATTTTAACATCCTACAAGCAGATACATCTTTGCAGTTATTAAAGTGAACTTCATCCCTGTATAATGTGAATTAAGAAAAGTAAAGCTTGTGCAAAAAAATAGCTTTAATATATAATAAGAAATAAAGACATGAATAAAGACTGTGAGTACTAGAAATATTCTTTAAGATGCTTGTAAAATCCAAGTAAAACTGTGTTTCATTGCAATGCCATTACTCCAGATTTTTGCTGCTTGTTTTACATAGATGTTGAAGTTGGTGAAAATTGGCAAAATATTGACCTTGAATATAAGACCCCACAATTTTATCAGCAATTTTTTTGTTACATATTTCTCATCTTATAAATATATGTATATATGGTATGATATTGTAAATTATCACCAGTGTGCAACAAAATGATCTTGCTTGAGTGGATTGTTGTAGAAATGGAAAATAAATGAACATGAGGTACAATGTAAGTGGAACTGAGTTGTCTCATAAACAACAGTGGATGCTGACTATATACTTGTATTATTTCAAACTATTCTCATCTAGTTCTCATTTTCATTGATAAAGATGTTATTATAGACACAACATTTTGACCAAATACCCTCTGGTTATCATCAGATGTCCACTGATTGGCTAATGTGGAATATCTGTTGATTATTGTGGCAATTATTATGATTATTATGCTAGGAGAAATGGGAACATAAATAAAATCTGTGAGTTCCTTGAAATGCTTCCAAAATCTAAAAAGTAAGCAGTGTTTCATAGTAAAGGCATCACTCCAGATATTTTGGTGCTTGTTTTATATAGATGTTGAAGTCAAAATATTGACATCAAATATAAGGCTTACACACCCGACATTTTACCATTGATTTTTGTCACATATTTCTTGGCTTATACATAAATATACATAGTAGTGATATAAGCTTGTATGAAAACAATTTTTACAAAGAAATATATATCCTTTCTCAATAGTAAAAGCAATGTACTGAGTGGTATTACTTTTTATATTGGCTAACTGCATTTTTTTTATCTTAAACTCTATATAACTAGAATAAAAGCTGCCCTATCAGGCACCATTTAAATGAGCTTCTACAGAGTGTTCTTGATTGGGTCTTCAACACAATAGGTAGAGACGAGTAGATGCAATAGTCCTTCATAAACTACAGAACTCAAAATTGATCGCTGTATTTAAGTATTGCATTAATACCTAAGCTTACCTTTTAAAAACAATTCTTCTGCCACCACTTAATTTAAAGACAATTTGATGTACAAAGGTCCTTACTTTCCATACAAAAAATTATTTTTATTTCATGGGTGGTTTTTGTTGGATTTTGCAGTTAATTTTGATTATTCTCAAATTCATTTCCAAGTTATAAAAATTGCTATAATATCAAAAAATTTATCACAAAAATTCACATAAAAAAATCAAAGAAAACAATCACAGTAATGGGAATCTAAAATTTCAGGATTGTGGATCCAGATCTGGCCAAGAATATTTTTAATTTGCTCACAGAGTCAGCAATGCTATGATATGTTGGGCTACAGCCTCTAGGAGTAGAGTTGAAAAGTATGACACAATGACATTTGCATTTATTATACAGAAGAAAGCAGATTTACAAGACTAGATCAATAATTCTATAGCCTGATACATAGTTATAAACAGAATATTGATGTGAAAATTTTTTGTGTAATGCTTGATGTATGTGATTAATGGAAAAGGACATTGACAAGGAAGGAGATTATGTTGAAAATAAATATTTGTTGTCTAAAATAAATCCCCTTTTTCTTAATCAATCAGTGCAGTGCGGAAAACATCTAGGATTAACCGGCTTCCATAATTCTTATCTAATATCAGATTTTTTTTTCATTTCTGGAAGAATTAAATATAAACTATAATAATTAGAATAAGGATTAAACATAAACTTACCTACCTATCTATCTATCTATGATTAAAGTTAAGGGAGGGTTTAATATTTTTAACTTAATGGTTCCTACTCATAAATATACTGCATAAAACACAGTGATTTTTAAAAATGAATATGCAAACTTGTTATTTCCAATACACAAGAAGCACTAAGTTGGGTGAGATATAAGACACATCCTGGAAAATAATAAAATAGACTTTATTTGATGTTAAAGCTTTTACACACACGTATTGATGGTCAGACAACCAACTTTATATTTATATATATATATATATATATATATATATATATACATACATGTGCACGCACACACACACATACATACATACATACATATATATATATATATATATATATATATATATATATATATTCAAATAATAGGAAAGAGCAGTCTGACTTATAGTCCAGAATGCTCGATACAAAGTAGAGCATACTATTATAATTATTTTTTTTAAAATATGTCTCTCTCGCGACTCAGAAATTACTATGTTTCAAAACTGAAGCTCAAATCATAAAATTTAACTTTAAAAGTTTAAATATATTTCTTTCGTAACCCTAAGTAACTTATGCAAAAATATTGATACCAACTCAAACACATGTACCCACAAAATAATAACAATGATAGTAATAACAAATAATGTAAACAAAAAGCTCCTTCTTTAAATACATATATATGTGTATGTCTGTGTGTATGTATCTACATATGTGCGTGTTAATTTAGATGCTTAAAATTGCTGTTTTGAGTCTAATTATTATTTTTATAAAGAACTCAGTTTGTTTAAGCAACAATTTTCTCCTTTCTTGTCCACTGTCTTGTCACATGTGCATTTGGTCATCCTGAAATCATATGACCAAGTGGATTTCTTATAGAATTATTTGCTTCAAACCCAATTAGTATCAGTTTCAAAAAGAAATCAAACAATGATAATTAGGGAATCAGGCATTGTCTGCAAGTAAGTACTTATTATCAGACTTTAGCAGAATGACAAGCTTTGAGTAAAACTAAGTGTCGAGGTGGTTGGAAATAAATAATAGTTATTAGAAGAGTATTTAGTAAGAATTTAGTACTTGAATCTAAATCTGGAGGAGTACTTTGAGATTTGAATCAATGAAGTAAATTGCATTTTGCTATTTGAATTTCATTGTCAACTTCATGTTTCTTTTTTTAATTGAGTTCATTAAAGGACTCAGATTATTTATGG